TCCTCTGCTCAACTTTTGTAAATCCATAGTCGCTATCGGCATCACCGGCCTCTGCGAGTTGGCTCTCAAGCTTTTCATTAGACGCGCTGGCAAGATCCCGGTGTTCCACCATTTGCTTCTCAGCATCTTCGAGACGAGATGCCATGGTTGAGCCCCGCGGAACGGTAGTATAAACTCTCACCGTTGTTGTACCCGTTGATTAGACAAAAGCGATGACGCAGACGGGCAATTGCATGGAGCCACTGGGTCCAGAACAGTACAAAGTTTTCTTAGCACTGGTTATGAAGACTTTTGCGACTGAAATGAGGGCGAGCAGTAAAAGATATATAGTAGCGGGGACGGCTAGGAGCAAATCTCTGGCGAGCAATTCCCGGCGAAGACGGGCAACTTCCATCCGGACCTCCTGGCGGCTCTAGTTCGGCACCTTTTGGCATCAAGGACCCAAGGAACTAACAAGATAGCCTTCGCTGTTGAAATGGTGGATAGCCAAGCCAAGCAAGGAGGTTGGAGGCTACCACTGGCGCTAGATCCATAATTTAGGTGGAGGATCGAGAAAGCTGTCTGACGGGAGACGTCGACTCTTTGCGGACTTGCCAGCGGCTACTCCGTCATTGCACGCACAACTCCGTAGCACGCACTCCGTACTACCTTGTCAATAAGCTTCCTAGCAAGCACACTGCTTGGTGGGGACTGGGGATGGCTAGAGCGCCAGATTTGAACGAGCGACTCCATCTGCCGACCTCAGAGATTAGAGATTTACCTGCAGAATGCTCGGCCTCGTTCCCTTCCTCCACGCCGGTGATCCGCTGAGGTGTGGCAGACAGCGAAGCCAAGAGCTCTACCCCAGAAACTAGTAGGTTGAGGTGTTGCGGGGAAGCGGGTCGCTGAGCCTGGAACTGCTGGGATGCGCCGGGCGTGTTGGCCGTTTCGGGACCAGGAGGAGGCCAAAAATTGGCGGCTTGGGCTTGCGGGGATGGCAATATCTTGACAAGGTGTTCTCTGATGATCTTGACGGCGCCGCCAGCTGCGTGGGTACGGCATGTGTCTCTGCGGGGAAGGCGTCTCAGTCGCTTGTGCAAGACGAATGGTCTCTTGATGAGCGCATTGTTTGCGTTGTACGCGATCGGAAAGGCACGGGGCATACGAGACAAGTCTTGGTACGGAGTACGGCGTATGGAATTGCAAAAACAAAGCCCAGTGATTCCAGATGCCTGCAGAATAGTACTTTAAATTTTAATTGGCCTGTCTCAACCCCCAGCCATCCTGTCATACCTGCCTCCGGTCGCCATGAGATGAGGGATGCTGAGAGGGAAGGAGCAAACGGCGACTAGTACACGTGGTTGGCACGACGTGGGCGTGATGCAAGTGACCTTCAACTCTCGTCAATCAGCTCACAACATCGCCTGCAACCTCCACTCTCGCTCTTTCATCTCACCAGTTCTCTGCATCTTGGGACGCGCTCCGTCGCATCGGGACCTGAGCCAGATTGGCTCCGTCCCACCAATTAGAAATCAGCCGAACAGACCATCGAAACCTATCATGGCTCTATAACACATGGCGGGGCTTGGCATGGATCTCTAGAGTGCACTGCTACGGACTACTGTTTGTTGTCCTCGCACAACAGGAAAGAAGTTGCCAAGGTACTCAAATTTCCATTGGTGTCGTGACTCGTCCATTTTCAGCAAAGGAACCAGCCACAACTCAATCAACGAGCAGCGAACGGCGTCCGTTTTGTGCTTAAACACCTCCTCCGTACGGCCTTTGCCACATCCGACAAACCTGTGGAACGCCATCTCAGGCTCGTCCCGCCACCTACGACCTCTTCTTCCCTGGGAACACTTGGAGGGGTTCGGTTAGTCCAATCGACAGCCAATAAAGGGGCATTCCGTGAGGAAGGATGCCGAGGTGTAATCCACAGGCAAACAGCAGCAAGTCGGCCATGACTTGGCTCGTATTTAGTGCTTTCAAAGTTGCCACAAAACCTGCTAGATATCAACGCCACGCCAACCTGCTTCCTGCCAACAAACGAGGTCCAAGAGATCCATCTCGATACAGCCTGAATCAATAACGCGATTTCACAATCCAATAGGCTCGAATGATGATTTATGTTTTTGGAAAATAGTCCCTACTTCTTCCGAATGCACGCCAAGTTGATGCCTATTTCCTATCGAGTGGATGTCCAGGACCTTGATGGGCTCGAAGTTTGTGGGCTGAAAAAAGCACAGCGGATTCAGAGCTGTTGGCCTGATGACAAAGGACCAAGCCAAGCCTACTTCAACTACATGCTCATACCCGGTGTCTGTTCCCCGACTTTATTCCCAGCAAACCATACCGGCTATATGCCGTTTTTGCCTTTCGGCAGAATATCAGAGTTGCCGAGGCATCACGCCGAAATAACCAACATCGGGCCATCAATCATCATGGGATGCCTCGGTCGACCAAGTTGACACACTTGGTAATACACTCGTTCAGCCACCAACACACGGCATATTGGAGGCACTGCTTTGCTTTTCTGTGGTCCATGGGGTTGTTGAAATTACAACTGTATACAACACCAGCAGCCATGCTTTACCTCACCTTCAACACTGGCGGTGGTCTTTCCCTCGGCCCAAAAGTGAATTTGAGATGGCGTCCTACACTCCCAGTCTTCACAAGGCCACAAATTGTTCCGTCGAATGGTCTCAACCCCTTTTGATATAATGTCACTGAATCTGGACCCGAAAAGCGGAACCCTTTTCCTTTTGTATATCCAGTATCTCTTCAGGTCATCAAGCGTATAAATGAACCAATAAATTGATGCCTGCAGATCATCAAGCATACACACTAAGCATAGTTGCTCCTGGGTTTCGAGATCATTGCGTCCCGAGCTCTCTTTTGCATGGAACTCTAGATATTGCATGCGCTAACATGAATATAGAATGAGGTACTTCGGATTCTGTGTTGAGTACCTAGCAAGGAGCCGACGAGCCGACGGAGTTCAATAAATTCTCTAACCGGAGCTACTTCCAACTACGTCATCAACACAGCATTAGTGACAATGCTTGGTTTTACTTCCGTCGTAAAACTACACAGGATCTAATAGGTACATTCCATCCAACGAATATCCACGAGACCGGATCACATATCATGGCTGCAGACAAGACCACGCGGTGCCGTAAAGGACGTTTGTGGTAGTAGGCGATGTGATTTCTTAGGAAGTTCTAGATCGAAAGGCAATCTCAGAGACGATAACGAGATACGTTACGCACGTAGCCAGCGACCAGCATTCAAGGCACCCACGGCCACGGACAGAGTGGTGCCGAGAAAGGAAGTTAAAGGAAGTTAAGCAACTACGAAAGCCGTAGACATGTAGTGCGGGAAAATAAACCGGGAGTGTAGAATAGTCATGTATGTGGAAATCACATTTCCACTGCTTGTATTTGCAACGCGTGATTCGCAAATCAACTCGGCCAGTGGTTCAAATCAGCTGGCATGCTGAGAGCCTCGCGAAACGAGGGTTCATCCCAGGTCCCAATGTCCTTGCTCCCCAGCCATAGCCATGATTGCCTTCTTTCCGCATTGCCAGCCGACACGACGAATGGGCGGCTAACGCAAGACGGCCTCGATCGCATCCTCGGTCGTTTCCACCCTCGCAAACTCGCCATTTAAACTCGCAAGGTGAACTTCGTGAATAGTCCGGGCGCAGAACCCGCCCTTGGCCCAGGCGGCCGTGGCGTCGCTCAACAAGACTATCCTGCTCTCGGCCGGGCTCCCCGCGGCATCCCGCTCAAGAAGCTTCAAATTGGCGGCCATTCTCACAGTCGAACTCACGCACTCGTCGGTGCTCAGCCCCAGGACGACCAGCTGCGCCGTCTTGAACGCTCTCAAGCGCGCCTCCAGATCGGTCCCTATAAAAGCGGAGTTGACGTCCTTGACGAGCACCGGCTCCGGGGCAACGGGGGCTGCGACGGCCATCGGCGCGACGCCGATTGCGCCGTCCGGGAATACATACGCCGGGTGCAGCGGCGAGGCCAGTCTCGCGGAGTGGTTGTGGGCGTGGATGATGAGGACGGGCTTGTCTGGCCGGCGTTGGTTGTACGCGCGAGCGGCGCGCAGCACGGATTCGACCTTGGACTCGAACTCGGGCGTACTTCTCTCTGGGCCCCAGTGCGTCGCGTGTCTCATGCCCTGCTGGATATCGATGAGCAGCAGGGCGGTTGGCGATGCGGAAGCTGGTAGCATTGTTGCAGCTGGTGAACTGATGGTCACATGCAAGTCATTGTTTCGCTGCTTCTTCATTTGACAGAAGGAGTCTAGATGTCGTCTTATCAATGTGCCGGAAGGGCGCGGTCAGACTCCACAGTCTAACAGCACCACCGGACTTGCTTGCACATCGGGATATGGCTCTTCTCTCGCCTCGTTTGCTCTGATGATGGACTCTTGAACCGATGAGAATTCCGTAAGTAGGTTTGCCCACGGAGAAGGATGGACCCGACCTGCGTAGGAGAGACGGCGTCATTACCGGCGATTGGGTTAAGGAGTAGTTGACTAACAGAGAGCGTCTTATCGAGGGACTTCATAGCTGCAAAGACGAGCGAGATCTTCTGTCGTAGGTCTCTCAAGACAGTGAGGTTAGATTTTCGAGTCTGTCAAGATTTCCGTTCGAGCTGCCTGATAGAGGGCAGAAACCACTGCCAACTCGGCACATTGCAGAAGCCTCCGAATATGCACAATCTTGCATTCATCTTCATGACATGCAATCGCTGAGTCTATTCATAAACGCCATTGGACTCCTGAATAAAAAGTCCGCACAATTTCAGCCATCTCGCTCCACGCTCCAAAAGTGTCACAGTGTCTTAACCGTCGTCCATCCTCGCCCATAAAACCGACTCCTGACTCTGAAAACGTATACAAAATTAGAAAAGCCCAGCCTCCACGTCGCCTTATACCTGTCCACAGCTATGCAAGTGTCCCAAATAGTTTACTCATGAATGCCTCTCCGCACTCCCATCTCACAGCCATCATACCATTACGCCCACTTTGGCTGCGATTGTTGACAGAAACTTCCGCACGTTGTGCCACAGCAACCCAGCGGTTCCCACAACGGTGAATATTTGCAAGATTTCCCACGGGTGTCTAGTTTTGACTTCAGTCTCAACATACTCGGTCTTGCCCCTGGTCAAGGCTGGGAAACGGCCCTTTTTGAGATACTCCTCCATTAACGCATCCTTCTTATACCATTGGTCCCGAAGCCAGATGTCAAATTCCTTCTGGTCGTTGAGGGGGATGTCAGCAAGCCGAAATCGCCGCCAGTACAGATTTACCGACTTCGGGGGGCGGCCCTGAAAGTATGTGCTTGCCAACCCAAAGATTTCTTCTCCGTATTTACCTCGACTGTTGAGTGTGAGTGTCGTCAGCAATTGTATCGTCTTGTCTCATTGTTCCTAGGGACGGCAGTGACCGAAACTTACGGTATTCCTTCGTAGGCCACAGTACAGTCGTATACATAATCCACTGTATCCTTCAGCTCATTCAGACAGAAGAATATGCCTGTGCTTCGGGGCAACATGACATGATCGGGGTCCTTGAGACCATTCTTTTCTGCCCACTGAGAAGACTTTTTCCGGCCATTTCTGGACAGATTAGTGCCTTCCGGGAACAGAAGAAGCCACATGGGGTCAAAATAAGCCCTGCCCGATGGGTCAATCTTCTTCTGCTTGAGTTTGTTCAATCGATAAGCCAGCCTGGGTTGATCCGTAGCCATCTTTCTCGACATGTAGATGAAACCGTAAAACATCATGCCAGTTCCTATGAATGGTATGTACTTTAGAGATTCTTTGAGAATGATGTAGATGTGCCCATGCATTCCTGGCCGATTTGCATAACCAACCCACCACAAGTACAGCCAATCTGTGTAAATCTGCGCGGCGACTGGCGTTAGCCCCTGTCTGGCGGCGATCTCGCCTGGTGATACCATCACCACATGTCAACTTACTTGGTGGTTTGCAATCATAACCATGCGTTCCGGAAATTTGAACTCGACGCCGCCACCAGGAGTGGCCAAAATTTGTCCAGCTACAGACTCATCACCGCTAATACGAACGAGAGCAGGGCCCCAAATATGAGTCATGACAGTAATCGTGAGTGCAAAGGACTGCTTTGTCATGGCCATGTATGCGTAAAACCACTCGCGGTTGATAAAGTACAATGGGGCACCGATAGTTTGAGTGATGACGATTCTATGAAGCCAAAGGTTTCGTTAGACGACCATGGTCAATCCGTTGAGCCCCGGCAGCACGGCGGATGAGACAAGGATACTCACGCAAAGCAGCAAAATGTAAAGTAAACGGTGAATGTAATGCCCCGTAGTATTTGCATACCAAGCCCATGACCGCTCTTGCCCGAAGGGTGGACAAACCGTGATGAGTTGGCTGGCTGTTCCTCGTCATTCTTGAACCCTGCAGCAATCTCTGGAGTCGGGGCATTGCTCTCCGGGCTGTCATTCTCCGCGAACTCAGGCATGACGGCCTGTTGAAAATGATTGATACTGCACCAATACGGTGAAGCGAATTTCAGATGCAAATGTGTGGGCGCAACAGCGGTCTGAGCGGAAAGGCCGGATAAGTACGGAGTAAGTAGGCAAGGACATGGAACTCTGTGGCGAGAGACAATTAGCAGCAATGCACAGGAAGCTCATGCAGACGACGGATGAAATTGAGTTGCATTCAAGTGAAGGAATCTGCTAGCTCTATATGCAAACGCTTCGCTCAATCGCGTACCTTGCAGGGTGCCCAAGTTGTCGGGCGGGTGGCGGGATCGACCCAGCGTTACTCTATGCCGGTCGACTGGTGTTGTGAATATGCTGTTAGGAATACTGCCTGGAAGCTTCTCTAAATCGCGTGGCAAGAGTCAGGTGTACTGACCAGTACACTCCTGACCTGGCCTGCCACGTCCCGAAAGAGCCTGGGCGGAGCAAAGAAATCGTGCTGGTGACGTGAAGATAGAAAGAAATTGATGTTGGGAGACGTTGAATGTTAGGCGGCGGCACATGTGACGCGATGACGATCCATGTCAGCCTCTAGCCCGAGTCCCAACGCTCCTGCTCCTTAGGCCATGAGCTGCCTGAAAATTGGCGGCCGTGTGTCCTGCAGAGCTTCAGCTGACCTGGCAGGCGGCCAATCAGAGGTTGTCATTTAGAGAGCTTCCAGCGCCGAGTTCCGTCAGCCAACCACGCAAGCAGTCTGGTCAATCTGCCAGCGGGGTACTCCGTATGCCAACAGAATCTTGGCTACCTTTCAGCTGAAAGCAGGCTGGGTACGCACGGATTCAAGTGATGTGCATTCGAACTCAAGAGGTGCAAATGAGTCGTGTTATATTCTCTCTCGTGTCTCGAAGTGTCACTATTGGCTGTTGGTTTAAATTCAACGGCGCCTCCTCGATGCTAGCTTTCTTGCCGTTGCCTGACAAGATTAGGCAAGCGGTCAGTCCCCGCAGTTAACCACCCAGCTGCAAATGTCCACTGCTAAACCACCAGCTTGCCTCACTGGCTGCCTTCCAAGGCTAAATCCTAGCACTGCAATCCCGCCACCCGCGAGGCCCACCGTTGTTTGCATGTTCAAACTAGGAGTTGACTGCGGCTAGTTCCAGATCCTGCCTTTGCTTTGTCTCTTGAAAAGGGAGACAATGGTAGGCGAATATGTCCAGGCGTCAGCTGCTACAGGAGCTTCTCGCCTCCACTCGCCAGTCCGGTCTCGGTGGACAACCCAGAGCTCCAGCATCACTGCCACGAAGGCGAACAACGTCAGAAACACCAACATGCAGCTCACGCCACAACTTCTCGACGAGCCTCCCCCTACGCAGCGCACAAGTCCGTAGCGTCAATGAGCTTCCCGACCGCACCTTCCCACGCTACCTTCAGAGCACGAAACCCGGCTCGTCGCTGCTGTCGCTCCATTGGCCGCGGCCACCTCGGAATCTACTCCTTGTGCAAAAGCTCTACGCGCCTGATGTGACCGAGTCTGTCATCAAGTTTGCCAAACACATTCGCACAGACTACCCAGACGTCAATCTCGTCGTGGAGCCGCGCATTGCGGCCGTTATTCGCAACCACCTCCCGTTCCCCATCTACATATCCGATAGCCGGTCCAACACTGCGGGCAAAATCGATGTCATCGCCACCTTTGGTGGGGACGGAACGGTCCTTCGAGCTGCGAGCTTGTTCAAACTGCATGGCTCCGTGCCTCCAATCTTGTCCTTTAGCATGGGCACGCTGGGCTTTCTGGGGGAATGGAATTTCAGCGAGTATAGGAAGGCATGGAGAGAAATGTACATGAGTGGGAGTGATGTGGCTTCAGTGCAGGATGCTGCTGTGCCCATAGACAACGGGAGGGATGAGCGTATAGCGGCCAACACCCCGGCTGATGTTGCCGGGTGGGAGAGGCTGCGCGGAAAGAGCCTGGGTGTTGGCCGGGCATCCAAGATTTTGCTGCGACACCGACTCAAAGCCGACATTTTTGATCGCTCGGGGGACAACATTAACCATCAGGTGTCTGATACGCTGGCCCACCAGCATAAATCCAGCATCGCCGGGACCCAGGAGCCATCACCCTCTCTCCGTGCCATCAACGAGATATCCGTCCACAGAGGATCTCACCCGCACTTGGCCATCATCGATATATACCAAAACGGCCACTTTTTGACAGAGACCATTGCAGACGGCATCCTCATCAGCACGCCGACTGGCTCAACAGCATACAGCCTCAGCGCCGGCGGGCCTATAGTTCACCCACTTGTCAAGTCACTCCTCATCACGCCTATTTCCCCGTGTAGTCTGAGCTTCAGATCGCTTGTGCTGCCCCTCGATACCAAAGTCACGCTACGAATGAGTCCAAAAAATAGAGGTCGAGAGCTAGATCTTAACATTGATGGGAAACGATGCGCCGGTGTCTTGCCGGGTTCAGAGATTCGCGTCGAGGGCGAATTTGTTGGTAGAGCCGGGCCGGGAGAGGAGTGGCATGGCGGTGTGCCATGTATAATCCGTACAGAGGATGATGATCCGTGGGTAGGCGGACTGAATGGGTTGTTGAAATTCAACCACCCGTTTGGGAGGGAGCCGCCAAGCGATGAGTTTTCTGACTAGGGGATCAGAGGATGCGTGAAGCAGCGACGCCGGGGGTTATTTACGGCGCGGTGGTTCATATTGAGTAGTGACGCTTGGGTACGTTTGGAGTCTGGCATAGCGAGTTGACTTTGTTCACAGCGCAAATTGATACCCCATTCGACGTCGGTGCAATTGGTTTGGCTGGGCAAAGGCTTGACGGCAGGGATGGGAAGGGTAATGCAGCAAATGGCACTAGCCAACCTAATAACTACTCTGTACTCAGTCGGAGTGTCTGGTCAAGTGTTTTTGGCGTGGTGCGCAATGGGCATTTCATACGCCAGCCCTCGCTGCCATGGCAGTACGGACAAGGGATTCGTCGTGATGGATACGTGTGTGTTGTAGACTCGCAGCTGCCGTACACATGTTTCGTGACAGTTGTCCTCAGCATGTCAGCTACTTGGGCACAGGGAATCTCGTGCCAAGTCTGGTTGCACCGTATCAGCCAGTGTTTTGAAACCAGCGCATCGTACGTCATGGGCTGAGACAGAAGCGTTGGCTGGTACGTGCCAAGTGCAACAGACGTTACGAGTCTTTTGTCCGTGTGTTGCATCGCCAAGACAAGGTGCATAGCCTCCTCCGTTGGGCCAAGTGGTTGTGTAGTAATCGGCAACGATGGTTTGTTGGTTGTGTTTATGCATTCTACGATAACCTATCGATCCTTGACTAGCGGAGCATTTCGTGTTCCTTTTTTTGGCATCAATCTTACAACAGCCCCTGGTCCAGCCAGCCATGTCCGGCGGCCGAGCTTGGCCTCGCTCTCTCTCTCTCTCTCTCAGTCTCCGCCGCGCAAAGAGACTGCATCGAGGTGTCATTTTTTTTTTTTTTGATTGAGCTCTTGTTTGACTGAACTAACCAACTGGCCAACTGGGGCCGACTCATCCGTCCGCCAACGACCAGGCGGGGATGGTGCAGAGAAGTGAATCCGATTCCATCGAGGTAGCGGCGCCAAGACCAAACGGCCAAGACACTAGAGCTTGTCCGCTTGGCGACACATGAGTACGGAGTACTCCGTACCAGACTACTAGTATTTGTATCAAGCCGAGTCATATTAATTCCTCGGGTTGCTCGCGCTGCCACTGGCTGTGCCCGTCCGCTCGCCCTTCCCCGTCCAGTCTTTTTCATTTCTCATTGACTTCTTCTTTTCCCTCGTCGCCTCTCGGGCTGTCTGTCTGTTCAATTGACTTTTGCGGCGCAGCACCGGCGGGGGACAAATGGCCATTGGAAGTCAACTGTCGCTCCTGCTGGCCGCGGCGACGGCGCTGGCTCCCGCCCAAGTAGCCGCGGCCGTTGTCCAAGGTAGGTTCAATGTGTTTTCTCGATGCCCCGACGCGCAGCCACCGCACAACCGTTGGCCCGAGATGCGATGCGTCACATGTTGCTGACGCCATTGCCCTCCTTGCACCAGATCTCCCGCGCCAGCACGATGCCTCGGGTTCTGCCGACGTCGTCGTCCGCCAAGCGTCCCTCGTCCAACGCGCCACCGATCAGTCGCCCAAGGGCTATGCGCCGTCGCCCGTCGACTGTCCCACGAGCCGCCCGAAAGTGCGAGACGGCGGCGGCTTGTCGTCCCAGGAGAGGGAATGGCTCCCCAAGCGCCGAAACGAAACCGTCGCCCCCATCCGCGAGCTCCTGAAGCGCATTGCCATCCCCGGCTTCGACAGCGATGCCTACCTCAAGAATGCCGCCAGTGACCCGACCGCGCTGCCAAACATTGGCTTGGCCGTCTCCGGAGGCGGTTACCGCGCCATGCTGAACGGTGCCGGTGCCGTTGCCGCCTGGGACAGCCGCTCGACTGGCAGTCAGACAAAGGGCAACTTGGGCGGCCTGCTTCAGAGTGCGACGTACATCTCTGGTCTGTCTGGCGGGAGCTGGTTGGTGGGCAGCATGTACACCAACAATTTCACTTCGGTCCAGGACGCCGTCAACGCGCCGCAAATCTGGCAGTTTGACGATTCCATCCTCAAAGGTAAGGGGGGAGGGCGGACAAGACGACATTCAGACCCCGTCATTCCATGGGTAAAAGTCACATGCTGATCTTGCTGAACCCGCAGGTCCCGAGCAATACAGCCTGCTACAGTATTACAGCGAGATCCTGGACGATGTGGATGCCAAGGACAAGGCAGGCTTCGATCGGTCCATTACTGATTACTGGGGTCGCATGCTTGCATATCAGCTCATCAATGCCACCAACGGCGGTCCGGGGTTTACCTACTCTTCCATCGCAAAGGACCCGGACTTCTCATCCGGCAAGAACCCGCTTCCCTTGATTGTTGCCGACGGTCGCGCCCCCGGCCAAAAGATTATCGCGTCAAACTCAACCATCTACGAGTTCACCCCCTGGGAGTTTGGTTCCTTTGACCCC